ACCATAGCTGACCACCCCCAACCCTCCTTCTTCCGTCTTCACCCACACGCGTCCACCATAGCCAACCACCCCCGGCCCTTCTCCTTCCGTCTTCACCCACACCCGTCCACCATAGCCGACCACCCCCAACCCTCCTTCTTCCTTCTTCACCCACCCGCGTCCACCATAGCCAACCACCCCCAACCCTGCTCCTTCCTCCATCACCCACACCCGTCCGCCATAGCCGACCACTCCCAACCCTTCTTCCTCCTTCACCACCCACACCGGTCCGCCATAGCGAACCACCTCCAACCCTCCTTCTTCCTCCATCACCCACACCTCTCCGCCATAGCCAACCACCTCCAACCCTCCTTCTTCCTCCACCACTCACACCCGTCCACCATAGCCGACCACCCCCAACCCTCCTTCTTCCGTCTTCACCCAGACGCGTCCACCATAGCCAACCACCCCCAGCCCTTCTCCTTSCTCCATCACCCACACTCGTCCGCCATAGCCAACCACCTCCAACCCTCCTTCTTCCTCCATCACCCACACCTGTCCGCCCAAGCCAACCACCTCCAACCCTCCTTCTTCCTCCATCACTCACACGCGTCCACCATAGCCGACCACCCCCAACCCTCCTTCTGTCTTCACCCACACGCGTCTACCATAGCCAACCACCCCCTGCCCTTCTCCTTCCTCCATCACCCACACTCGTCCGCCATAGCCGGCCACTCCCAACCCTTCTTCTTCCTCCATCACCCACAACCGTCCGCCATAGCCGGCCACTCCCAACCCTTCTTCTTCCTCCATCACCCACAACGGTCCACCATAGCCGGCCACCTTCAACCCTTCTTCCTCCTCCATCACCCACGCCCGTCTACCGGAAAGTCTTAAGGGGTCGGTAGGGGAATGTGCGGGGCCTCGGGCAGGATCGGTTAGGGTAAAGCAAGGTCGATTAGGATGTGAAGTTCTTGTCTCTCTCTCTCTCTCTCTCTCTCTCTCTCTCTCTCTCTCTCTCTCTCTCTCTCTCTCTCTCTCTCTCTCTCTCTCCGCGTCTCTCTCTCTTTCCCTCCCCCTCTCYCTCCRTCTTTCTCCATTCCTCCAAAACCCTTTAACCCCTAATCCTTCCGTCGCTCCCCCTTCTCTATGGCATGTGACTAACCTCTACCCTCACCTGTTACATTGMCAGGGAACGRAAGGAAAGGAACTTGGTCCTCACTTGGTGGAAAGCGAGGGCAAGGGGAGGGCTGTCGGTCCCTTGTGCCACCAAGAAGGGAAGGATACGAGACTATTGAGAAACGGMTGAGGGAGCAAAAAAGAAGGGAGTATCGCTTTTGCAAYAAGGTCAGTTYGACTCAACCATCCTCCCGGACTGCATGACTAAGGCGATTGCATGGCTTGCATGTGGGAAAGGGAAGGGAAATCATAAGGGGAGTTGGAAGGTAAAGGGGGCCTAGGATTGCGGGAAGGGGCGATGTGTTGACCCCAACGGGGATTGTACTTGGTCATTTTTCTTGTGTGGTCTTGCGCAGGTGAGTAGCCTGGGACGATTTGGACAGGGCTGGATCCACGGATGAGGACTAGGGTGGGAGAATTGGCTAAGGGATGGACTTGGACTTCGCATGAGTTGCGGATGCGGGATGGGTCGTATGGTCGGAAGGTCGGATGTTTGGATGAATGGTAGATGCCTGGACGTGGTTGCGTGACGGTTGAATGCAATGGCCCTCTCGTGAATGTAATGTAAGCCTGGAAGGACTAAGGGCTGTCTAGGATAGGTGGATGCGATGCTAGTGGCTCTCGCAAAAAAATATAGCGGCTAGGGGCCCGGGCGACGCTGCCTCGCCCCGAGGATGCTGTCGGGGCCGTCCTGAGCCACTCGACTTAGTGAAAAGGTGCGTGGCCCAATGGACGACGCTTGGCCTGCGCACGGTAAGAAGACAAACTCTTAACGAACTCCCTGGACTGCCTGAGTATTGGAAAAAGCAATTGCCTGGTCAGAGTTAACCGAATCGAGAAAACGCCACGAGTGCCAAAGAGCTACCATCTTGACGCGAGAGCGGAGCTACATCCCCCAATGTAAAACCCTCTCGCAAAAGGCCCTCCCCCATCCATCTCAAAGCACTAGGTGGGGGTGCCCCTGGGACGAACGACCCGCGCCCTGAGTATGAGCGTGAGCGGGTCGAGCCAAATGGGACCCGCAGTGGGGTCGACGAGGCTCGAAAGTCCTTCAGGGTACGGCCCCTACAAAAATGGTGGAGGTGTTGGGTATTGGGTTAAATTGACCCATACGATCTCGAGGGGGGCACCCGACGCATGACCGCGAACATAACCAAAGATAAGAAATGAGGACTTGTGTATGCTCTACTCCTTCGAGCGAATCAGATTTGAGGGTGGTTGGGCGCATGGCAAGGCAAGGCCTGGAGGAACAACATGCATGTTTACACCTTTGATCAGCCATCTCCTTCGGAGGTGACTCTAGTCCTCCTTCATTTGGACTGATGTTTGTCAGGCCGGGGAAGCTTTGGGCAAGCCGCAGGTCGACCCTTCCTCTTCGTTTGAAAGAAGGGCTCCGGTTACCTGGCAGGCGGTTGGGATTCCGGGCTAGTCCGGGTTCCGATAAAAATCCCGTGGCGGAGTGATCCGAACGACACGGGTGTTTCCTTTCCTTTTCTTCGGAGCCCAGCGGGCTCCATGCACGACACTTAAATGCTTGAAGGAACCCCATATGAACACAAAAGGCAATCAAGAAGGAACAATCCCGCCCTATGAACAGACAGACAAGCGAAGACAAAGGCGAACGAAGGGAGTTGCTAGACTCCGAGGAAAACTAGCTCACCCTTGAAGACGCTCACGAAAAAGGAACCAGGCACTGTGTATGGAAGTTAAGGGTGAGTGGCACACACTGTCCTGAGAGAAAATCTGAGAGGGATGGGTAGGAAGCGTTGGGCGCACCATGGGAAAGGCACTTGTGTTATGTGTGTCCCACTTGGGACTTGTGATTGCATGCTTGGGATTTCGAGCGTCCTGCCATTTGGAAGGAAAGGAGGGGTTTGCACCGGCCGATGCGGGTTGCGAAATGTCGCTCCCTTTTGTAGGCTACCGTGGCTTCGCGTGTGGAGGTCGGGCCGCCGAGCTGTCGGACGGGAGTTTGTCACGTCGGTTGATTAGTAGCATTCTCGTCCGTGCGGTGATGAGCTTTGGCTCGATGATCTACCGGGCGGGGTGTGAAATCTCCTCAGGCGGGGCTTAGCCTGTCGGCAGACGGAGGGAGTACCACTACATGCAGGCACAGACGGAGCCTCGGGGACGATTAGTAGCTTCTCGTGGCCTGGTTCGGGAAAGGCTGTTCCTTATCGGACCAATGGAAGTGAATACCTGGACGGCTGGCTCCAACGGCCCTACCGAGATGTGCGGGGTGATTCCCGAGATTAACGGTGGGTACGCGAGCGGCAAGTCGGGACGGGGTATTCTGGGTACAAGGAAAGGGCTAATGCCTTGCCAGAGCCTGTGTACGGCCCTCGCGACGGTTGAGCTATGCTTGAGGTGCGGGTTGAGACCCTGCCGATGGTAACAGTGGAGAGACCACTTTCGGGGAAAGGCCGGTGAGGAGATGACCAGTCTGTGTGCGACGTCTGCTTGAGTTTTCCTTTTGTGCCTTCCTCTGTGAAAGCTTGCCTGAATATGTGTTGGGAGGGGGACTGAGCTTCTGGTTTATTCTCACCCCTGCCCGGGTCTGCACGAGTGAGAGAACATGAGAGTGAGGCTGGATAGGAGTTGGAAGGAAAAGAGAACCAAGAGAAAGGAATGGCGGTTGTTGGAGATCGGTGAAGGGAATGATTGGGTAACGATCTCTGGGAAATGGGTAGGAAGGGTTAGGGAGACCCGGATGAAGGGGGTCTGAAAACAATCCTCATCTAGGAAAAGGCGACAATCTGATCGAAGAGGGGCCATGTGGTGCTCTCTTGTGAAAAACAGGACGGGAGCTGGCCAACAAGATGGTGTGATGGTTGTCACCCCCTGTCTATTATAGCGGTTCGGAAATACCAATAGACGTAAGGGAAGGGGTGTCTGTTGTTCTCCCGGAGGAAGGGACGTGGACGGACCTGGAACCAGCCTAAAAAACTGTGATGCGGGACGAGAAGGACGCGTTCCTCTGGATAGAGACGATTTGGACTAAGGTCAGCCTGACGAGACTCTCACCAAGTTTGATGGATTTAGAGTTCCAGGGGACGGTGGAAGCCCGAGGGTGGGTCTAGGACCTGGAAAATGAAGTGGTAATAGGGTTGGTATTGGGCGTGGCATCGACACAGCTGTTTAGACAAGCGGAGCGAGAGGTGGTATGGGCAGGTGTCAGCGGGCGGAAATGGAAATGGATAAGATAGATGTGCGAGTGGAACTCGGGGACAGAAAGAGTATGAGACGGCCCCTCAGAACAATGAGGTGTGTGCTACCCGCGTTTTTGGTGGATGCGGTCTTTGGGACCAGGGGTAGGCTGGAGCAGATATGTCGATCAATGACGCACCTTAGGCTGCACCAGTGCGCCCGACAGGACTTCTTTAAGCTGTCAGTGGAGGCGGGGCCGTTCGAAGAGAACTGGGCAGAGGAACTAGCTGAGGTACTAAACCTCCTCAGCGCGGATGAGATCTTCGTTTCTAGCTCGGTGCATTGGCAGATAATCTATCGAAATGTGGCGGCGGGGGAAACTGTCTTAGAAGGTCTAAAGGAGTTGTTCCCGGAAGAAGAGGAGGGTTTCAGTGACGATGAGAGTGAGGATGGGAACGAGATAGAGGACTGGGACTTCTGAGAACGGGGATGGGGACTTACCCGGGAATGGATTGTCGACTATGTGCAGGTAGGAGCGATGGCCCGGGAATTTTTGCTATGGGATTGCACGTGGGACCCAAAACGAGTCAGAAGGGGAGTGGAAATGTTTGTACCAATGAGTGATGAATGGATGGGGGCGAAGTGTGACTAGCGGGGGTATGAGATCGTACCGGAACTATCCTGTCTGTGGATAGAACGTGTCTGGAACCCGTTGAGGGAAGAGGAAGGATGGGATGATATTGCAGAAGGGAAAGTGGAGTCCGTCGGGACGATCGTCTTGTCGGAACAAGGATGGCACCTGTTTTGCACCACGCTTGCGGCTGGGCAGAACCCGATGTGGCTTTTTGGGGATGCCGAGGCAAGGACTCGAAAGGCGGGTGAAAAGTTCGCCAATAAGGGGTGGGACGAGGTCAGTAGTAGGGCGGTGATGGGAGGATGGAAGGAATTTGACCCGCCGTGTGCCCGGACCAAAACCTGGGTGCCGGACTTCGTGGCGGACTGGTTCGGGGGCTTTGATCACGTTGCGGAAGTAGCCAGCACTATGGAACGGGTACACATAGGCGACGCATGGTTGGCAGAGGAATTTTATTAAACATCTTTGAAATTCGGACCTTTCCACGGTGACAGAGCCCGGGAGGTCCTTATCATTTTGGATATTGAAAGAAATGACCGAAAGAAGGTGGCCCCGGAAACTAGGGAGGCCATAATCCGCCGGGAGGTAGCAGCGACCCCATGCTATGTGGATGATGTATTCAAACTGTTTGAAGTACTGTGGTTTGACTAAAGGAGCGGTAAAGCCGCGGGGCCAGGGAAGTATGAGAAAAATTGCTAAGATAAGGGGATGGGATGTCTGGCCGGGTTTGTTTTGGTGTGGGCCGCGAGAGAGAAGACCGAGGACGAGAGCACAAATGGCACGGCGAAGGACGTTCCTTGAGGACCGCCCGTTGGGCATTGAGCCGCCTAGGGATGTGGACGGTAGGGTAGAGATCAGCCTGCCCGCCACAAATGAGGGTTGGCACCCGGTGGTAGATTGGGTCGGGGTTGAACTCATGGAGAACTTGGTTTACCTCCTAACGAGGGTGGAATGGCTTGCAGACGAGAATGGGGAGTGGAACCCGGACCTGCGGGGGCATGTGCGGGCGAAAGGACGATTGTATATGTCTGAAGATGGGTGGCGGGAGTTTGGAGTTCGGTTGGCATCAGGAGAAGACCCGCTGAGTATGTTTGAAGGGGTGTGGCAGTTAGGTTGGCAGGCTGGGTTTGAGTTCGCAGACCCAGGGGTCGATGATGTAACAGCGGACCTTAGGGTAGCCATGGTCGGGAGTTTTTAATTGCCCAGTGAAAATGTGCGAATGAGGCTGCCGCCCTTCCTGCTGGAGAGACTGGGCGGATTGGAACTTGTTAGAGAAGCAGTAGCCGATCTTGTGAACCTGACGTATGAAGATGTGATGGTATGTCGAGAATACTACCGGGCCTTCTTGGAAATGGGACCGTTTTGTGGAGAGCGAAGGTACGAGGTGCTGCGCGTCTTACGCACTGTGTTTTGCACCAGGCCAAGGGCTCCGGTCGTTAGCAGCGAAGTTTTGTGGGGTGTCGTCCGACGGGAAATAAGCCGAGGGATGGTGTACGTGGATGATTTGTACCGTTTGTATGAGCCAATGGAAGTAGGGACGGACCAGTAAAAGAGAAGGGTCAAGGGAAAGGGAGGAAAAAAAGGCTCAAGCTAGAGACCAGGGAGTGTTCGAGCGGAAGCCAAAGAAGAAATGAAATAAGTAAATCCGCTTGTTGTTTAAACTGTGCAGGGAACCACTAAGTCAAAAATGGCGATGAGACGCGCTCGGATGTTACGACGGCCTATGCACCCGCGGCCACCCACGGAAAGTGGAGGCGGATGGGAGGTATCGCTCCCAGCAAGCTACGTGATTCAAGGACTGGATACGGAATGGAGGGCCGTGACCTTGGGAAGGGGGCAGGCGTTCATGATGGTGGAATGTTTGTGGGATGGTATGAGGATCGACAGGGGAACGGGAGACGATCTGTACACCGACCTCAAGGTGACGGGGACCGTGTACCTGCCAGAGATTGGATGGTACATGTTAGGAACGGAATTGGCACTAGGCCACGGATTGCTACCAATCTTCCAAAGGGCCACTAGGATGTTAAACAGGGTGGGCCAGGAGGTGCGAGGGAGAAGAAACGTGGGTTTGAGGACCCAGGTGGAGGTCGGAGGTTGGTAGGAGTTTAAGGCCCCAATGACCGGGTTGAGGTGTCGAGTACCTCGTTTCATGGTGGACCTGGTATTCGGTAGTCTCAAGATCGCTAGGGACCTAGTGGACTCGACCTTGGTCTGGATCCACCTCTTCCGGCCACAAATAACGAGCATGTTCTATGATGTGTCGGTCAAACACGGGCCGTTTTGGGGTAATCAGGCTTGGGAGCTACTCGAATTGCTCGAGATTTTGATATTCGGGTTGCCCCACTTGTCGTTTGAAGAATATGAGCCAATAATCATCAGGGGAAATAGAGATGGGGGAAAATTACCTTGCTGGGTTGGCTGACCTGTTCGAGGAACTGGATGAGCAGGACAAGCCTGAGGGACCAGCGTGAGAAAACGCGCCAGGGAGAGGTAGGGAAACAAAGGACGAGTACTAAGACAAGTAGTCAGCCATCAGCAAAAGAGGGGCGGTGGTTGGAGTTCCGGTCGAACCAATGATGCGGCAGGGAGGAACTAGGAAGACCACCTGTTCCCAAAATTCTGGGGCACCTGGATGCCAATAAGCCGAAAGGGCCATACCCAATACGAAAGCCACTAGGCTCAGGCACCGCCCTAAGAATCTGAGCACAACAGTAAAAGAATGCCGAGCGACGGCGGCAAGGTCCCGGTAGAAGAAAACCTGAAGGACGCCCCGGGAAAAGAAAAGTTAGAAGAGTCATACTGATTAATGTAAGACGAAAAAACATGGGAATAGGCGGGTTTTAGGGCCAGGGCTAGGACAGTTGTGAACAACCGGCCATTTTTCGCAAAAAAAAATTCCATGTGCAGGCTAGGTAAAGAAATGGCGACTGAGGAAGGGATCGATGACCAGCAGAGCGGAGGGAATCAGGGCACGAACGGGGATGGGGAACGAAACGAAGGACCAACAAGGGATCGAGAGTCAACGAAATTGGAAGGGACCCAAGAAGACGGAAAGGACTTCTCAACTGGAGAAAGCTCGGGGAAACCTGGGGGTAGCATAAGGGGACCTCAGGAAAACAAGGAAGGGGGAAACGATATGAGAACGAGACCTCGGAACTCAGCAGGAGTCACTCCTAAAAAGACAAAAGTCTCGGATACCAGTCGTAAATTGGCAGACATAGAAAATCGGACTGCAAAATTTAAGGCAAGACTTATCGAGCAGATGATGGCCGAAGATGAGGAGGACCCTCAGGGCGCAGGATCACATGAGGGACGCAGGGCCGGTCAGGACGAGCCTAGGTACGAGGGGAAGGATAATAGTCGCAAAGAAACGCCTAGCAAGAAGGGGAATGACAAGAACGACCCCCCGGTGGAGGGTGCGGAAAACGCTATGACCCCGCTTGCCATTGACAGCGGCACTAGCCAACTGCCAGCCACGCCAAAAGTAACGGGGGCATGCGACGGACTCTGGAGCCTTAGGAAAAGGGTGCTGGGATGGTTTGACCCAGAAGGAACGCCGAAAACCAGGGAAAAGCAGAGGGAAAGCAAGGAAGGGGAAGGGACCAGCGCAGCTGGAGAAGCAGGTAGCTCCGAGGGTGGTCTCAAGAGGATAGTCACCACCCTCACCCGGGCGTTAAATAAGAACCAGGGATATCTCGCAGATGCAAAGAAGAAACTCACGTTCGATGGGGCAAACATTACGGAGTTCCTGATAGACTATGAGAACCTGGCAGCCTTACTAAAATGGACGGAAGAAGAAAAGATGGAGCACCTAGGGCAGCACGTGTTGCTAAGCTTGGGAAGGGACATGATGGTCATCGTCGCGTCCAGTGGATCCTAGAAAGAAACCAGGAACGAGATGATGAGGAAATATCTGAAGGCAGAGAAAATGACAACAGAGGTCGAATTAGCAGCAGTCCAGAGGAAAAACTATGCGACTTACAACGATTTCCTAAGGGCGTTTACATTAGTAGCGCTACGAATTCCTAGGGTAACAGACCGCATAATGAGTAAATACTTCCTCAGGTAGTTCTCCGAGTTTGACAAGGATAAGATTCTGTCAGCATACCAGCAGACCAGCAAGTTTGAATACACAAGGGATGTGGATTTCAGTATGGTAACAGACCTTGCAGAGAAAACAGTGGTAACTGAGACCCTAGCCCTGCTCATGGAAGGGGAGGTTATAGACCTAACCAGAAAAACGGGGGATAAGGTCAAAAAGGGAATAGAGAGCCTGCATGAAAGGGTACACGGGGTTGATAACAAGATAGAAAGAATGGAAAGTGCGCTATTAGTGATGCAGGCGCAAGTAGCCCGGCCCGCCCTCCTGCCCCAAGAAGCCGTGGTCCCGGCAGCCGTAGCAAACCGGGGATTTGGCAGGAGAAACCCAGCCAACGAAGAATGCAAGTATTGCACTCTGATCGGGCATTTTGTACGGGCCTGTCCGAGACTCGATCACGATATCGAGTGGCAGAGGTGCAGTAGGTCCCTCAAAGGCGAGATCCTCGGACCCAAGGGGGAGCGTGTCAATTGGAACTCGCCAGGAGGGATGCGGCGAGCCGTCATCCTCCTAAATAACTTAGAGATAGCTGTCGTCGAAGCAGAGCCGATAGCCGAGATTGTCTGGGACCAGCAAAGGGGACGGGGACCACAGGCCAATTTTATCCTAGAAAGCAATGGGCAGGATAGAGTAAATATCACTACTCGACGAGCTGGCGCGGAAAAGAAGCTCATCCGAGACACAGTAATGGAAGAAGCCGCGGGGGCTAGTGCAGATCAGGAGGAAGCTGAGGCCGAGGAACAGGAGAAGGTCTACGGAAAAACGAGGGAAGAAGAACCGGTAGATAAAGTCACGGCTGCAAAAAAAAAGTTCAGTTACCAAATCCCAGTTCTGACGTTGCCCGAATTAGATGACACACTGAGCAAACTCCTGGGCACCATGGTGTCGGTATCCTTCCAGACCATGCTGCAGGCAAGCCCGAGACTGCTCAAGGGCCTCAGGCAGCTATTGACGCGTAAACGTGTAGAAGTAGAGGAGGCTCCGGAACCACAGGAACAAGGACCCGAGGAGACCGAGGCGCCACAAGGAGTCTCTAACCTCCAAAGTATTCCAGGGGGTCTGGAAGAATTGGAAAAAGCCTTCGCTGATATTCGTCTGAGCCTACCGGACCGAGAAGGTGGCGAAGTTATGAGAGCACCACCAGGCACTAAACTTAGCTTTCATGCACTCCCTATAGGAAACTGAAAGTCCAGATCGGAACTCACCACACCGATGCACTAGTGGATGGCGGCGTGAAAATCACCCTCATACGACGGGATTTCACAACGATCACAGGGTGCACAGTGAACAAGGAGGTAGCAGGGAGTATCCAGGGAACAGGGGGAGAAATTCCCTTTACTGGGTATGTCACCAAATGCGCAGTCAAGGCAGGAATTCGGGAATCCATCTGGTCTTTTCAACGGATGACTGTCATGGAAGAAATGGACCATGACATAATCCTCGGGAGACCTTGGTGCGCCAACGTAGAAATGATTGGCATGCACCTGCATGATGGCACATATATGGTAGACATAGAGGATCCGGTGACTGGTCACGGAGAACTTCTCCGACTCCTCGGAACTGGAGGGGACCCTCCCAGGGGTAAGTTGGCAACCTGGTCACTGACATTTGAAGAAAGTGCCCGAAAGGGCGCATTCGCACGGATGCAAGGCATGAGGGAAAGGGTAGAAATTATGATTGAGGAAGCATTTAGTAAAAAGGAATGGATTAAAATGGGTCGACCCCAGAAGAAGAGGAGGCAAGAAGACGAAGCCCTGGAAGTTATGGTGGCAGAAAAAGAGTCGGAAGTCGAACTTGGGGCCAACCTGCCCAAACCAAAGGAAGCCCGGAACGAAACGTCGGAAGTGGTGCTTGAAGTCCCAGACTTATTACAACTCGTTAAGGCCATCAGGTACCACAAAGTGGGGGTGGACCCCGCAGCGCTTGCTAAGTTCGAGGATGGGGTCCGAAAGGGTTACTGCCTGAATGGGAAGCTGGTCAGCATCCTGCCCCGCCCCTTGGAGGAAGCAAGGCCGATCCCGACCGTTCATTTTTTAGGAGAACGATCCCAGAGGACAGTGTGCGAAAATACAAACCCGTAGGGAAGAAGGCCAAGCCGGTCTCGATCCTAATCGAAACATCTAGGGAAGAGGCCATCGAAAAAGAAGAGGAGATCCTACGGGTTATAAAGGAAAGACGCGCAATGGAAGGTCACCTCATACCAGATCACGTAGCAGATACCATGAAAATAGGAGTGGAAGGGTTCCTAACACCGGAAGAAACTCAGTTGATAAGAAAGGCATGTCAGGAATTTCATTTAGCCTTCGTTTTCCATGATCATCAGAAAGGGCGATTGGACGCGAAGCTAGTCCCCCCTGTCAGGATCCACACCGTACAGCACGAGTGTTGGAATGATAAAGGACCCGCCTATGAGTTTGGGATAGCAGCGGAGGTCACCGACCTGCTTAGAGCCAAGATAGATTCTTTTGTGGCTGAACCCACCGCATCCCCCTACGCGAACAAGTGGTTCGTGTTCAGGAAGCCCAACAAGACGCTTAGGTGGATCCAGGACCTGCAGAAGCTCAATGCGGTAACAATTAGGGACGCAGGCTCACTTCCACAGGCCGACTTGTTGGCGGAGTCTCATGCGGGGCGGAGCATTTACTCCCTGGTAGACTTGTACTCAGGATATGATCAATTGCCACTCGAAGCAAGGGATAGACCGTACACTGCAATGCACACCCCTGTAGGACAGTTGGAGATGCAAGTGACCCCTATGGGTTTCACAAATGCGGTAGCAGAGGCGCAGAGGAGGATGCTCGCCGTCATAGGGGATATGTTTCCAGAAAAGTGCGAGCCATACATAGATGATAACCCCGTAAAAGGCGCAAGGTACAAAGACGAGACGAAGGTCGAGCCAGGTGTGCGAAAATTTRTCTGSGATCACCTGCAGGATATCAAGGATCTCCTACAGCGGTTCTTAATCTATAATATTACCGCAAGTGGGCCGAAAAGTCTCCTGGCTGTCCCGGAGGTAACTATACTAGGATTTCGCTGTGGGGCCTATGGGAGGAGACCCAACCCAGCAAAGACAGATAAGATCTCTCAATGGCCGACACCCCTGCGTACTACGACGGAAGTACGAGCCTTCCTAGGGGTGGTTGGATTCTGGAGGATCTTCATCAAGGGTTTCGCAAAGATAGCATAACCTATCCGCGCGATGATTAGGGAGGGTGGCACCATGGATTGGACCGAGGACAGGGAAGAGGTAGCCCAGACCTTGAAAGACATCCTGTCGTCCGATCAGGTTATCTTAGCAACACCCTGCTTCAATGACGAAGTAGGACGACCCTTCATCCTAGAGACAGACGGTGGCCCAATGGCAGTAGGAGGCGTATTGATACAGAAAAGCGAGGAGGGCGAGGAAAGACCAATCAGATTTGAGAGTAGGACCTTGAATTCAGCAGAACGGCGGTACTCGCAGTTCAAGAAGGAGGTCCTAGCCATCCTACATTGCCTAAAAACCTTCCAGGCATATCTGTTCGGGAGGCAATTCATCTTAAGGATTGATCCCACTAATGTTGCCGGGGCACTGAAGAATTACAAGCCTATAGATCCGACCGTCGGTAGATGGATAGGCTTCATATGGCAGTTCGACTATAAGGTTGAGCGGATCGCGGGGCTTCGAAACAGGGCGGACGGACTGAGTAGGGTATGCATCACGCCGAAGGGAATAGAGGACGCAGAACCAATTGACGCCTTCCTAGATTACGGAGGGGGGCCTCTTGTTGTGGAGAACGAAATGGCTGACGCGACGCTTACAAAAGGCCAGCTGTTGATTCATACTTTGGAAAAGGGCACACCCGCAGTAGTTGCAGAACTCAGGGAAGGACCAGTCACCACGGTCAGGCGCAAAGAGGAAAAGGACTCGTGGGGGGCAGAAGTAGGGGCCAAAGAGGAACTGATGGCAATGGCCGTGGAAGGGGGACGGGATGCCGTGATGACGTTGGCGGAAATTTGGGCGCAGAAGGAATGCCAGTACCTAGTCAACCAGACCCGGGAGGAGCAGGGTACGGATCAGAAGGAGCAAGAATTCTTCCTCATACAAATGTATGAGGGCGTCTTTAGAGAAATCGGCCTGGTGCTCGTAGGAAACAAACAACCCACGGAGGTCAGTCCCAAGGCAAGAGAGGAAGTCGAAAAGTATGACCTACGAAATGGCCACCTGTTCAAGAAAGAGGAAGGGAAGGTGGCTAGACGCGTCGTTTGTGGAAGGTCTAGGCAGCTGGACGTAATTCAGGCAATGCATGATGGGCTAGCTGGAGGCCACCGGTCGTCTAAGGGGACACTTGCAAAGATCGTGCCCCGGTACTTCTGGCCAAGAATGGCAGGCATGGTCGCGACGTACTGTCAGACGTGCCTGATTTGCCAAGAAAGGAGCTTCGTGCGAATTTACGAGCCACTTAGACCTACACGGGTACTGGAACCCGGACACCTTGTTCATCTTGATCTTGCGGTCATGCCTGTATCAACGGATGGGTTTAGGTACATCCTGGATACAAGGGATAATCTCAGTGGCTATGTAGAGGCCGTAGCCCTCAAGAGGAAGACGGCAAAAGCAGTAGCTGATTGGGTGGAAGATTTCTACTTAAGACACCCCTTTGTGCGCAGGTTTATAGCAGACAATGGGACATAATTCGTTAACCAGGTGGTGTTGAACAGGCTTAAGACACTGTGCGTACCAATCAAGATCACTGAGCCCTACCACCCTGAGGCAAATGCACCTGTAGAAAGGGGGCACCGGACCTTAAAAAACACAATCGCTAAACTTGCAGCAGACAACTTGGGAAGCTGGCCACGGTACCTTAAGCAGGCAGTCTTCGCTGAGAACATGWCACCAAAGAGAAYGACGGGATGCATYCCAGCAGAGCTATGGTACGRAAGGGAGATTGACTTCCYAGTGGAGGCCCTCATCCCTACCTGGAACAGATTAGACGATAATCCGCACCTGACCACGRAAGAGTTAATCACTRCACGTTGCCAGCAGGTCGCCAGGAATGAGGARGCACTGGAGGAAGTAGTCAACCGTGTAACGGATAGCCRAATGAAGGACAAAGCAAGGTGGGATCAGGTCAAGAACATTCGGAAGGAGCCACTCCAAGTGGGGGAGAAAGTGCTAGTTAGAAACTCGGCCCTTGAAAGCTCATGGTCTGGGCAGCTGGGGAAGAGATTCAAAGGGCCTTACATGATTGCTAAACGGGTGGGACTGAATGCGTTCGAACTTGAGGATCGTGATGGTACTAGCATAAGAGGACCATTTCCGGGGCAGAGATTGACCAGATTTTTGAGGAGGGATCCGATGGAACAATGGTTACAAGAAGCTCAGGACAGGGAAAGTGGGGAATTGACAATCTGAAAGGCAGGCAGCTGGCTATAAGTTTTTGACCGTCTCCCTGTGGGAGTGATCATGACCACAGGGATTGTTCTTTTGTGTGTCTTGTTTTTTGTGGAACGTGGGGAGATTGCCTGGGCTGACTGTGACTGGGCTCGGGAACACGGGACAATATACCATAGTTTTTGTGGGGTGAGGCTGTGGACTGCCTACATGGGGCACCGATGTGTTGGGACAATGTACCATAGTTTTTGTGGGGTGATGATGTGGACTACCTACATGGGGTACTTATGTGTTGGGACATCGTGCTAAGAGTTCTAAGGGATAATGGGACTACCAACTACATGGGGGCAAACAAGGGTTCTAGGGAAGCCTCCAACGCTGCGAATGGGAGTGGAAGGGAATACATGTGTATGAGGGGTTGCGACAACTGATATGCATGAACAGGACTGCGCAAGGAGAAAACAACAAACGGCAAAATGGAGTTTGGAAATGAAAATGACAGCAACGCCATCAATAGGCCTAATGAGGTCATCGAGGCAGGCTGGGGAATCAAGCTCCAGGAAGAGGAAGTTATATGTGGGGTTCGATCACAACCTGGTTGTGAACAGGGGAGGAAGAAAGCAAGGGACTAGGGGACCTTCACCACCAAGGGAGGGGGAGCCAATAGTCCTCCCCTCCGAAAGCGATACCAACAGCGAGGAAGAGAGGAACCCGGGGAAAAGGCCAAGGTTGGAGGAGGAGAACCCAGAGCAGGGACAGCGGCCGGGGGAGAATGACCCCGTTGAGTTCATCGACCTTACTAGCGATGAAGAAGAAGACGAAGTAACAACGCCCACCAGGGAGGAACGGGGAAGAGGGGAGGAACCGGGTGAGAAGAAGGATAAGTGGATAGAGAAGTTCGGGGATGAGTTCAACGATTGGTTTGATGAATGGGGAGCTATCTTGCGATATCAATGGATAATGAAGGCAAGGGAAAAGCTGCGCAGGGGACAGGATATATCCCCAACAACATTCTTCTAAGAAGAGACTCTCCTCCACTTGCAGGCGATAAAGAGGCTAATGCAACAGGAATCGGAGGACCGTGCAAGGGAGGAGGCCCGACGCAGGCCACCTGGACATTAGGGGAATAACAGACGCAATGGGGGGATAGCTGGAAATTGGGAAGGGTTGGTACCTGGGCAGGTACAACTGCCGTTTTGAATTCCGCATTTGAACTCTGTTGAATGGATTGAAATGAGTCAACTTCTCACCAAGGTCTGGGCAATGGGTGCTACTTCGTATAAGTCCTTGCTTCTTCGGGAAAAACACATAAGGATTAGTGCACCTAGATATAGTACTGTGACGGGTTGCGTTGGCTAAGAGTGAGCAAGGGGAAAACAAGGGGGACCTAGATGAGACGAGTCTGTAATGTTGTCGTTGCATTCGAACTTTGTCTCCTCCTTTTTGAAGGACTGTAATGAAACTACTTTTTTAGATCCAGGAAACTAGTGCGGGTTGGAAGGCTTGTGCTACTTTGTATGAATATTCGCTTCTTTGGGGGGGGGGAAATGTGAGCTCTTTCTCGCAGTAACAAATAGACTTTTGGGGATGATCGACTTTGCCTCAAGGAAATAGGCAGGGGCATGTGAACTCTTGAACAATGGAAGATACAGTCATGGCGAGAGTTTTTCCTTTAAAATTGTGTATCCAAAACTGAATGAGTCATTGCACGAGTCCGTGTGAGAGGTTAGGGGACCTGTGGGTAAAGAGGCATCCTCTCCCCTAGGAGCCTAATCCAACTTATCCCAGACAAGTCCAGAGCATTGAGATGTTATGAGAAGCCGGAAGAGCGGAAGGAACATTGAAATGAACCGGCATGCCTTGTAATGGTTGAACGGCCGGGCGGGCTAGTGCTGCTTGGGGCCGCGAGCCTCAACTTGAGTACTAGATGCTAAGTCGAATGTATGGATGGATGTAAGTATGACAAAAGGCATGAGGAAAGGAAGAAGCATGCGTAAAATCCCAAGACGATGGCCGCCTTCTAAACCCCGAGACGAGATAGGATCCGTGTCCTCGAGGCCCACCCCCTCGGGCGCTAACATTGAAAGGGATAAGGACGACCCTAATCAGGCTGTCCAATTGAAAGGGATAAGGATGGTCCTAACCAGGCTGTCCGATTGCAATGGATAAGAATGGCCCTAACCAGGCTGTTCGACTTGGAAATGGAAAGAACGACCCTAACCAGGTTGTTCGGAGTAGCCCCTGACAAGGGTCATTCTTTGGAATTGGCACTGGGGTCCCCTTGCATGGTTGTTTGTGACGCATGGAATTGGAAGAGCTGAGTCTTGCAAAAGAGATTGGGAGAACTCAGCCTTGGAAAGGATATTGGACTCAGTCTTGGAAGAGATATTGGATTGAGCATTGGAATTGGATTGAGCCTTGGAATTGGGTTGAGCATTGGAACGAGATCGAGTATGGGAATGACACGGAGCATTGGAATTGGATTGAGAATTGGAAATCGCATTGCATAAACAGGGGACCCTAGGCAACTTGAAATGGACTTGGAAATGACATTGAAATGGATTCCCTTATTCTAGTCTTTGGCCTCAGCAAGAGGGGGATACCGGTGCATGCACCGCGACCCCAAAGACCTCTATCTCCTTGAGGGAAAAAGTCTCAGCGCGACCTGTTCCTCTTGTAAGAGGATGAGGGTTAAAGGACTAAGGCACCTACCACTTGGATCGGTGCGGGACGTTCGGAACCACCTCCGACAATGAGCTCTAGTCGGGGAGTTCCAAATGCGCCTCCTGTTGAATGCCTAAACGTCAAAGGGCGAGAGAGCCAAATGGGCAGGAAAGTCATTCTCATCTAGTATATTTTGCTACTCTCCAACCACACGCCATGTCATAGAGGGGTGGCATGGCCGTTTGGGTCGGACCACGGCCCCCCGCGCTAAGTTGGGTGGCACTGTCCAAGGGGAGAGGCTGGGCGGAGTACCAGGTGGAGTCCGCGGCCACCACAAGGCATTGACACTGCCCTGCCGGAACATTACAACCATTTCGGGACTAATTGCGAGGTCTTCGTAACTGCACTCGTGGGCTGATTGAGAGCCCCAACTCTCTTGAACAGAAGAGGCTGGAATCCAAAAAATCACCACTCGGGAGGAACGATTCGCGAGGAACGCTCTTACGGCTAGACGAGGCCCTGGCAGGCTTGGATTGGACCTGCCTGACAAACGTGAGGAGGAACCTTGGTATTGGTGCTCACCACGTAAGAGAAGAAAGGTCGGACCGAGTAGAAGGATGAGGCGCCGTCCGCTGGGGAGGAACTGATCACTCTTCCTTTTGCGAAGCGGATGGGCTTGTGTCCTTGACTTGCGGTTGGTGGGCCAAAGGTCTCGTACCTCCGAGTGAGGACCAGTCGCAAGATGGGGACATCGCGTTTGGAGTGGGGGGAAGGCGTGCCATCTACCAATAAAATACGCATGGAAAAAGACTTGTATTTGGTTTTTTGCATGGGCCTGAGAAAAGGGGGCCTGACAGGGTGCCAGAGCAGAAAAGACGTGAGCAAGTGATTGGTAGGAGCCTAAGAGAAGAGCCTGGCAGATGATTGGGAAGGAAAAGATTGGCATGAGTGACTTTGTATGGACCAAGCAAGATGGAAAGGGGACAAGTAATTGGTATTGTATGGACTTGAGGAGAAGGCTTGATAAGGGGCCCAAAAAGAGAAAGGCATGAGGAATGAGCCAGCTGGCATATGTGGGAAGCCAACCAAGTAAAGAAGCAAGAAAGAAAAAAGGATGGTGATATGCATGCGGAATTGGCAGGACCGGACAAAAGCCGGGAAAAGCGACCCGGGAAAATGCATGTGGATTTGGTTATGACTGAGCTTTGGGGAAAGGAAAACTTGTACTGAAAATGCGCAGAAGTCCTAAGAATGTTGAATGAGGCAAAACCAGGATGGTGTCGGCTCGAGAATGTTTCTCAATGAAAAGGGGAGGTAGACTTGAGATTACGAATGCAGCCTTCAAGACATTGTCGAGAGTGAGAAATAACGTAGAATGAAAGACTAGCTGCAGGATATGTCTGCTGTCCGACCTCTAACTTGATGCGGAAAGAAAGAAAGAAAGAGACATCGAGCTGCGGAAAATCCTTGACATGTTGCTAGCCCACACCTGGAGGAAGCCATGGCGGATGATCCTTGTGACATTCGTCGCCAAAAATCCCCCCCCCTAACCTCGGTCCCTGGGAGGGTGATGGGCGCGTCATCCTCTCTTTTGTGGAGCGATACTGAAGGTTGTGGGGAGACGCTTGAGTATCTGGGAGTTCCAGTAAGAAAGAGATACAACTGTGAGATGGACGTTGATGCACACAGAGTGTTACACGCCCG